CGGGTTCAGGAAAAGGAATGAGGATGTGGTGATATGTGAAGAACGGGTCAGGAAAAGGGATGAGGCGAAATTTGATAATCTGGATGTTCAACAGTGTAGTGGTGAGGTAACAGCGAGGTCATGTGTTCCTTCCGAACGCTTCTTTTTCTAATCGAACCAAATGGCTGTAACTCGGTGATAAATGATTCCTTCTGGCTGACTCAATACTTTGTTCATTTCAAATAAACATAAATGCATACACATACACACACATACATACACAGACTCATTAATCAGATGTTAGACTAAATCTTCTTGTCATAGTAAAAATTGCCTGTAATTTATCCATAATTTGAAAAAGTTAGATTATTTGTTACATTTGCTTTCTGTTTGCACTCATCCCTTTACCTGTTAATTAATTAACCTATGCTTAACTATCGCTGTTTATTTCTTGCTCATTTGTACCAACTATGCGCACTTTTTTTTTTGATTATTCATTAGTCTTATTCATTCATTCGTTAATTTGTTCCTTACTTTACTTTTTTTATTTCTGTTTCCACACTTCGTTATCGTTCTAGTTTTTTTTTTTTTTTTTTTAAGTCCTAATGATTTTGATAAATTTCTCTTTTTCAGTTCAAAATTTCTCATAGCAAAAAGTTGCCATAAATCATCAAAAGCTATTCATTCGCTTTATGGGAAAATTATTTCTAATCAATTAATTTTTGTTTTCTTAAAATTTAAGTAAGAAAAAAAAGATTTAAATAACTCTATTGAGTTATTCAATGAATGATTTCATGAATTAAAAGGACATAAATAATAATTGTGTATTGTTGCAAAAAAAGGACAAAAACACGATAAAAAATAAATAAACAAACAAATTTATACAAAAGAAATAAGTAAACAAACATACATACTGTTTATTTATTTTATCTAATTATTAGAAATTTGATAATGTTTGATAAATGATAAGACAAACAATATGTTTTTGTAACAACTTTATGATTATCCATCTCTGTGATAAAGTTTTTCGGAAATTTTTTTATAATTTTTAAATTTAAATGATAATCTACAGAATGACCATTGTGACGAAAAGTATGAGTGGCTTTTCGAATATTCGAATCTTTTTTACATTCAGAATTTTTCAACATAAGATTAGCTTAAGCTTTAGTGGACAGTAATACAAAAGCTAAAACAGGAATACTGTAGATGAATGAATTAGACCTGATTTGTTCACGTTAAACGTGAATACGGAATGGTATGAACATAGTTGTATGGATAAAATGAAATATGTCACTATTATTTACTCTCATACTGTATTTTTGATATTAAGAAAAGGACGCTTATTATTTTTCATTCCAAAATAAAGCCAGTAGATTTAGTAAAATTGCCACGTGAAGTGACTCAACATTCGTTTGTTGCAGTGTGTATACTTTCATCTATCTTATCATTAGCTATTATTCATATAGATTTTTAAGCATCACCTGTCGGCTTACACAAAATTCAACGGAAGGCTTAAGTTGAGAAGTTCTTGGTTTTTCGTACCTGTTGTTATGCAGCACCGAATGCTGAAATTTTAGCATTGATAAAAATCATGCCTGCTATAGATGACTGTAGTAAGCCTCATAAAGCAAATTAACTCATTTATTTTGTACATAGTTTTGCTTATTGTTGTGATGACATGTTGTGGTGACAGTAAAGATGCTAATAAAAAGCAAAAGGGAGTTTCAAAACTGATAGTACAAAGAAGGAGTGAAAAAGGGATAAAAAGCAATCGCTAAAGTAATAAAAATATTATTTTGATAACCATTTGACATTGATTATTACTGATAAAGGACACGATTGATAAGAAGGGTTAGTTTTAAGCTATGTAGACGAAATAAATCGTGGAAAAAATTTGAGAGTTTGAATTTCATTTATCATCTCTTCAGTCATTTCCGCTTTTTTTTTTCCCATATGCTATATCATCTTCCGCCCTCTCCTGAACTCTCTCAACCTATCTTCAAATTCATGCTAAGCAAACTTAGAATCCGTTTGTGGTAAATTTGATTAACAATTTAGTGAAATACTTTGTTCTTCTAAAAAATTATGTTCGGAATGAAGGCAGTTCAGGTATTTTATGTTTTATCTTAGCAAAAAGACAGATCGTTGTATTGATCGATTCATTTCAGTAATTATTAACAAATATTCTTTATTTTTCTAAATGCAAAAAATAATTTATTAAAATATTTTTCCTCTCTAATATTACACAGAAATATGGAATTGATGAATAAAACATTGCCTAAAATTGACCAATAAAACAAGTAAAGCCTATAAGATAAATAAAAATTTATTTCAAATTTTCGCTCTGTTGTAAATTGAATCTTTTGTTTGTTTATTTTTGAAATTTATTTGTTTATTTTTGAAATTTGTTTATTCTTGAAAAAAAGTTGAATCTTTTGTTTACTTTTTTCAAATATTTGACAAAAACTTCGACATTCTTTCAATTTCACTTACTGCAAAAGACAATAAGTTTAAGATTAAATTCAGATGACAAGTAAAGTTTATGCTATTAGTGAATATGTTAGTTATGGTTAAAAAGATATGATAAGAGAGTCCTTCTTCACACAAAAAATATGCTAACAATTAAGAAATAACTGGATCAATTTAGCTTCTAGTTTGATTATTGCCTCTTTCTGTCTCTAAAACTGAAATTAGTTCACATTATCCAATTTATTCTTTTGTTTGACAATGCCGCCACTTATTATGCAAAAAAAAAAAAAATATTCCCGTTCAGTGTGAATCCGAAGGAGCTCATGCATGTGATTAAAATATTTGAAAACTTTTGTTAGTGAAATTGTTTGATCATCAAGTTTAAAACACTTTGATGATGGATGAATTAGTCATTCAAGAAGAGATAATTGAGCGCCAGGTGGAGAGAGTCATATTAAGATTTAATTGATCTCCAAATTAATTAATTTGTGAGGCATTCTTTTATTTCATCGCTAATAATATATATTTTCATTTGTTTGTTGTTATTTTTGATTATTCACATTTTTTACGATTTTCATTTATGTCCAATTTGAAATAAAATTTTTAAAAGCATAGGGTGCTATTTTTTAAGTTTTAAATGAATAAATTGAGTATCAACCGTTAGTGATAAACGCTAACACTGAGATTAATGGATAAAACTTTATGAAATAATTATCATTTCACTGAGACAACAATTGAACATCAATATTTTGTAATTAAATTGCATATTTTTATGCTGAACTTTCCGGTAACGATTCCACATTTTTCGTTGTATCATCAGAGGGTAAAATCTATAATTAAAGATAAAAAAATAAAATGAAATTTATAGGTTCAATTTTAGAGTTTTAAAGCAAATGAATTACAGATCTGATAACTTAAAATGTTATGAGAATGCTGCTGAAGTTGACCTTGAGTTAATTAATGATAATGGTAATGACTTTAACTCTTAAACTTATCACCTTATATTTTATGTTAGCCAAGAAAAAAAACCAAACAGAAATTACTAATCAAACTATTAAATCACTATCAGTCTTTTTCGAAATTATTAATTATTTATTCCTAATCCTCACTGTTTCTGTCACTTTATGTCACTGTCACTTACTCTCAAATAGTCACACAGTTTAGATAACTTCAATTTAACTATTGTCATATTATTTTGAAGGAATTTTAATGGAATTTAATTTACAAAAAATGAGAAAACAAATGCTTCTCATTGCTGATAAGCAGTGCTTAGACGTGACATCTTAAGTTTTTTTAAAGTATTATTTTAAGATGATAGACCTGTAGATTTATTAGATATTGGATTAGAAATGATAATTAAAATTTACTGGCACTGTCTGAGAAGCTTGCGTTCGACCAGATCTTAGCGGTGCTGCTGTAGGCTTAGGCTCGCTTTCCTCTGTAGTTATTTCACTTCAGATTTTTTTAACTTGTCAAATTGAAAGGAAAATTTTAATTTGAAAATTAGGAATTTTGATAAATTTTCTTTTTCAGTGCTTACATCTTTCTAATAATTCTAGTTTTTTTGATTATCATAAAGTAAAACTTAAATATTCCATTTTTTTCCTCTTCTGACAAAATCAAATGAAGTTTTTTAAAACTTCTGATGATGCGTAACCTCTTTGAAGTGAAATTTTAAGTGATTTCGACGGTGCTTTCACATTTGAAGCCTTTATTTGAGAACTGCTTCTTTGCGTTTCGTCCAAAAAAAAAAAAAAAATGGTAATGGTTGAAAAGTTCTTTCCGTTTTTCTTTTTTTCTAAAGCGAAGAAAACAAGAAGTGTCAAATTCTCAATTCTTTCTTTCTTTTTTTATTTTTCTTCTAAACATTCATAACAATTCTAAGGTAATTGATCGATGTCTCAAATTTGTTGAAAACAAGCAATATGTGTGTTAAATCCGAGCAAATGTTCAACTAATTATTATAATTATAATTAACTGATTAATTGTAATTATATCACTGACATTCACTCAATCCCAATTTCAAACTAACCACATCTAAATGTTTTGGTCCTTTAACAAGTGGTACAGCTGGTGTTAATTCCAATTTTTTGTGCGAACATTCAAACAATACCCATATAATAACACTAAAAATTGGTAAATATGTCGTAATCAAACATTGCGACATTACAAATGTTCTCAACAAAAGTATAAATATCCCATCGCTCATCACGGCAATTTAATAAGAAAATGTTATGTGACAAGTGTTCAACTATTTATTCCATTTCATTTCATTTTAGGTCACATCTTTTGTTAAATTTTTTCAGTTAGAATGAATTGTTAAATAAATGAATCGATCAAAATACATTCATTGTAACAATTCATTTTTGCAATAAGTGGTTGGACGAACCAAACGAATCATACCTTTGATTAAGATTACTCTTGATTATTAATTAGTGCAGTAATGAGTTCTGAAATGACACAAGGAGAAATAAAAGTGTCATTATATCATCATATCATCGTGTCATCATATCATAATATCACCGTGTCATCATATCAGTCAGATTCAACAAAAAAGGTCTGTTCGTTTTATAGATCATCAAATTAAAAAGATAAAAAAAAAGATCAAAGAGTTGAATAAAAATGAATAAAGAAAATATTAATTCGTAAATTCACTTTTTTCTTCATTCCTTTTTTGAACCTTATAAAAGAGAAAAGACAAATGCGCATGGAATACGATAACATCAGTTTCCCTTCTATTGCAAAGTAAAAAAAAGAAAAAAAAACGGAGAAAAGGAAAAAGAAAATGGATAGCAATAAATTATCGAATGAATAAATCGATGAATAGTTCAGTCAGTCTTTTAAACTTTTAAATTTTTAAAAAACATTTGTCTAACTTTATAAACTTAGAAGTTGTTGATTGTTTTCTTTTTCCATGCATTCAATATTTTATAACTTAACAAAGTTCACATTCAAAAGATCATTCGTATGATATATCGCAGCTAAGAAAAACATTTCTGCTAATTCTTGAAATTTCTTTGGAATTTAAAAATTTCATTTCTTTTTTCATGAGAACTTTTATAGATTGTACTTAATTATTGGTAATGATGATGGATCGCAAAAATAATCAAATTTGACATATCCTCTATTCATTCAAAATAACCTTTACT